TCATGCAGAGGAGGGTTATTATAACAGTTATTTCATGATCATTAGATTTTGAAATCATCTTTATCTTTAAAGCAATAAAAGCCCCATAAATATGGTTTCTCCCGTTGTAAAAAGCTACTTGCATGTAAGTCTTCACTGATTTTGCAATTTGTCAAATTTAATTTTAAATCAGTATCACCTTGTTTTATCACTACCAGTTGTATTTAAGCTAAATCCTTAGTTTACCTGTCATTTGTATGTACTCTAAAATGTCTCTAAAGGGAATGTGGGCTGAACAAAGTTGATACGAGTTTCTAGTCATGGGGATTTTGTTATTAAATTTTCACAAGATGCTAATGTTCAAAATGGAAGTGGATGGAGATCAACTTCATGCATTCCACCTTCACTTTCTACTTAATGAGATGATACATAAATTAATTCATAAAACTGGGGGAAATTATGTTCTTATTCAATCAGTAATTAGAGTACAGTGTCTTACTCAACCTACCACTCTTAGGCATTAAAAGGAGAGTTGGAAGTTTCTGGCCTTGGTCTGAGAGCACTGGAAAGAAGAGCTTATTGAAATTCTCAATGAAAAACAACAGACAGATGTTGGTTTGGTTTTTTTCCCCCCTAGTCTGTTTCTTAAATTCTTTAAGCAAGCCTAGCAAATGTTTATTTACTTTCAATAGATGTTCTAATTTTTGTCAACCAACAGAACACTATTATTTGTATAGCTTAGAAGGTTTTTTTTTTAACTTATTAAAACTTTGTAATGAAAGGACAGTATGTTTTCTCTTTAATAATGAAGTAGATGTGATACGTTATTTAGCATCTACCCTACCTTGGATTTATGCATATTGATTTTGTATGTGGATTATTCTTTTGCACAACAGCAAAATCACTGGTTTATATGACAGTTGTTTTGACAAGTTTAAATTCTTTTTGAAATCATAATACTAATTCCATAAAATGGAAACACACAACTCTGGAAAACATAGTAGGGGAACAAAATGATGAGTTTGCAAATTCAGAGTTAATACAAACAACTAAGTTTTAGTAAATTCAACTTCTGATTTTGCCATCTTTTTTTTTTCTTTAGATTTTGTTTACTTATTTGGCAGACAGAGATCACAAGCAGGCAGAGAGAGAGAGAGACGGGGAAGCAGGCTCCCTGCTGAGCAGTGATCCTGATGTGGGGCTCCATCGCAGGACCCTGAGATCATGACCTGAGCCGAAGGCAGAGGCTTAACCCACTGAGCCACCCAGATGCCCCACCATATTTTCTTTAAAAAAAAAAATAAAATAAAATTACCTGGTGGATTGGCCTCTAGATTGTTCAGTTTCTATAGTAAATGTTTATATATTAACATTTTATATTAGGATCAAAAATTCACAAAAGTATGTTTATCCCTCATCATTAAAGATTCAAATGTATAAAGAACAATTATTTGCTGTTCTCATCATCGGAGTTGAGAAATGTTTGGGATCACAAATACATTCAGAAATATTAGCATACGTTTAGGTTAATCCAATTAACTGGAATGTGTCAATATCAGATTTAACACAGATTGAAAGACAAATCTTTATATTGCGATGAGTTGATAGCATACTGAGAAACTGCTGCAAAAGAGTCCATTTTAAAAAGACATTTTGTGGGGCACCTGGGTGGCTCAGTGGGTTAAGCCTCTGCTTTCAGCTCAGGTCATGATCCCAGGGTCCTGGGACCGAGCTCCACATTGGGCTCTTTGCTCGGTGGGGAGCCTGCTTCCCCCTTTCTCTCTGCCTGCCTCTCTGACTACTTGTGATCTCTCTCTGTCAAATAAATAAATAAAATCTTTAAAAACAAAAGGATTTTGTGTTTAGATGTTCAGGAAATAATCAGAATGTTGATATTTGAGCATATGTCATCTCTTATTCAAAGGTTAGCAAAAATAATACATAGTCATGAAAACTAATATTTTAATTTTTACAGCATTAGAGACAAGTTTTAAAATGTTGCTCTAACAGGATTCCTAACATTTTTTACATTTTGCAGTTATTTTGTTTAAAAGGTCAAAGGAAAACTAGTCTGAAATAAAATTAAAGTAATGGTTTTAAACACTTTTATATCTTTTTTCAATATTGCTTTCACAGAATAATTTGCAAAACCTACTTGTTATAGCAGCTGAAAAGATAAATTCTATATATTCCTTACTCATTATTAGTTCTGAATTACTGGGACTAGAATTTATAAAGGAAAATTTTATTTTTTACTTTAAGAAATTGTGTTTGAACATCACTTAGAATTGGCAGAAATCAGAGGGAACATCTGTATTTCTTGGAGTAGCATTCAACCTTCATTGCACTGAGAATCTTTGGAGGGTATCAGTCACAATCACGTCTACAGCACGCACCTTAGAAAAAATGGTGGAAGGTATGTAAGTGTGCCTGTGGTATTGGTATCTTTAAATCTATCCTCATTTGATCTTAAGAGAAATTGCAAACATTGCTATTTAACCATCATTGGCAAATAATCTCATTTGCAACCTACCTCATAATTCTTGTCCACAAACAGTTTGCGGAGCGACATGAGCCTCTATTAATGAGAACGATATAAGCTTAGCAGTTTTATTTTAGTTCAGACCACAGGTTTAATTCACTTTTCACACTCACTCTTGCGGGTCTCTGAAAGCAGAGTGTAGTGGCTGAGACGGCAATTGTGGGGTCAGACTGTTGGCTGGAATGCTGTGGAGCTGCTCTATGAACGCAGGCAGAACCTGTCATAGGTTATCTGCAAGTGCAGTTTTTCAAAACCTGTCTAGGTTGAAGGAATCATGGAGGTTGATGGTTAAATGCAGACTCGGGAACCAAAACAAACCCGCTGGGTTGCAAACACCACTGCAGAGACCTGGCAGGCTGAATTTTCCTCACCCTGCCTGGGCCATCGGGTAAGTCCACTTGGCAGAGCAGCTAATCTCACTTGACGCCTTCTTTTACTCACATTTTTACTGAGTGTATAGTAGATAGCTTACATTCAAGTGGGCACTGGAGATGCAGAGATAACAGGTGTCCTGCTTCCTTAGTGCTCTGTGTTGCAACAGAGTCACAGCCACCTTTAAAAGCCATTGTTTTGGGGATGCCTGGATGGCTCAGTTGGTTAAGCATCTGTCATTGGTTTAGATCATGATCCCAGGGATCATGATCCTGGGATCAAGTCCCACATCAGGCTTCTTGTTCTGGGATGAGCCTGCTTCCTCCTCTACCTCTCTTGAATAAATAAATAAAATATTTTTTAAAAACTAAAAAAAAAAAAAAATAATAATAATAATAAAAGTTGTTGCCTTTGATAATAAGCTAGATGCCCTTCTTTGGTTCAGACTGCTGCCACAGAATACGGGGTGCCCTATATAAATGAGAGAACATTTATTTCTCATAGTTCTGGAGGCTGGGAAGTCCAAGATCCTTTTGCTGGCAGATTCATTGTCTGGCGAGAACCTCCTTCCTGGTTCCCGGATGGTCATGTCACTGTGTCCTCACATAGCAGAAGGGACAAAGGAGCTTTCCAGAGCCTCTTTTGTGGAGGCGCTAATCCCATTCACGAGGGCTTCACCCTCATGACCAAGTTACCTCCGAAGGCCTCACTCCCAAGTGCCGTCATATTGGAGATTAGATTTCAGCAGATTAATTTTAGGGGATAAACAATCGTTCTGTCTGGAGCAGGCACCTTGATATATCACACCAAAGCTTGAAACCCAACATTTAATGGTCTCAGCATAGAATCAGAATACACGATACTGTATTTCATCTGTCCGCGCTTTTCATAAAGGGGTTTGGTTTGGTTTGGTTTGGTGTTGTTGCTGTGTATCTGTTTTTAGGACACTACGGCATATTCTTGACACAGTTCCACATTATTCGTAGCTTGCCTTGCACTTCTGCCTTTTATTATTTCGTTTTATTCTACTGTCATTGCATCTCCTTTTATAATATATTCAATGGTCTGATTAGTGAATTATTGTGTGGTCTTTTACAACCCAATTAAAAATAACGATGAGACTGGGGTTATGGGAGATAATTTTATTGAGTGTATTTTACAATTAATTATGTATTGATAACAGTCCAGCATCATTATTTATTATAATTAGGCTAATTATAAAATGTAATTACTAGAATATCCAAGGTATTCAACTGCTGCTTAAAGCTATCATTTTGAAATACAACTTTTGCTTGCTGATGACTACAGCCTTCCTTAATTTGTAGAAAAATTATGCTTTGTTATTTCTATGGAGAAATTGATTGGGAAGCATCATTCCCTAAGTGAGAAAATAAAATGTCGCACCGTAGTTTTTGGGTGATAAGGTAATAAGAACAACAGAACACAGTTCAGAAGATGCTCACAGAGTTATTGTCCTGGACTAATACAACTCAAACAGGGTTTGCCAGTCAAGGCATTGTTTAACCATGAACTATTTTACTTTCTTTTTAATTTGACCATGCTAGGGCGGGTCCTGAGGATTATCAGTCTTCTCTATGGGCATTGAGCTTCTCTGTGCAATAACTGGTGTATAATCTACTAGCTTTCATTCTGGGAAAAAAAAAAAAAGGATAAAAGAAAAAGTGTAAAATAAAGTAGGTGTTAGTCAAATATCTAATGACAATCTTTTATCAACCATGAACCCACGGCTGGAAATTATCTTCTCAGTGACACTGTTCCTTCCATCATTGGTGGATTACGGTTGACTGTGGAACAGAGTAAGTAGGGAACCACTGTATCGTAACTTCTTTTTTATTTCTATACTTTGTAAAGATGTTTGACTCTGGGAAATGCATCTTAAAATATTTGTGTGGTGTGTAATGCCCACTGTTGACCAGCCATTATCCTGGGAAGGCTAACGTGGGTTTAGTTGGCGGAACACTCCCATTTGGATCCTTAGTGCATTGGGTAGGATGCATTAAGCTCATTTACTGTCTGGAGCAGACAGTTGCACAGTTTTAACATGCATACTAATCCTTTTCCTGTTTTACCTCTGCTTTTGTCACAGAAACCCTCGAAACTCTCATCAGGCAAGCAGAGAACTACACCAGCATTCTCTTCTGCAACACCTATAGGAACATGGCCCTAGAGGCTGCAGCTTCCGTTCAGGAGCTGTTCACTGACGTGGGGCTCTATTTATTTGGTGCGGATGTTAATCCCGAAGAGTTTGTAAACCGATTCTTTGACAGTCTTTTCCCTCTCGTCTACAATCACCTCATTAACCCTGACGTGTCGGACAGTTCCCTGGAATATTCGGAATGCCTCCGGATGGCCCGCCGGGATGTTAGTCCCTTTGGTAATATTCCCCAAAGAGTAATGGGGCAGATGGGCAGATCGCTGCTGCCCAGCCGCACGTTTCTGCAGGCGCTGAATCTGGGCATTGAAGTCATCAATACCACAGACCATTTGCATGTCTCCAAAGAGTGCAGCAGGGCCCTGCTGAGGATGCAGTACTGTCCTCTCTGCCAGGGCCTGACTCTCAGCAAGCCTTGCATGGGGTACTGCCTCAACGTCGTGAGAGGCTGCTTGGCACACACGGCAGAGCTGAATCCGCACTGGCATGCCTACATCCGGTCACTGGAGGAGCTCTCAGATGCCATGCATGGAACATACGACATTGAACATGTGCTCCTGAACTTCCACGTGCTTGTTAATGATGCTGTGACACAAGCTCACCTCGATGGACAGAAGTTATCGGAACAGGTAAGTAGCCACACCACATCTCCTGACCCATGGCTTGGAACTCAGGCATTAGCCCCATATATAAAGTTCCGTGCTTTATAAGCACACCATTTATGAACTTGAAAATGATGACAGCTAAACAAGTTAGGGCCTCAGGAAAGAGTAGGAGAATGCATGGATTGCCATATTTGAGTCAAGGTATATTTTCTATATCTTACAGTAGAAGTTTGGTTAGCTACGTTCCACTTTTTCCTTGAAGTAGAAGCCTTCTCCTAGGGTTAGTTCAGTGAGGGAGAGAGGACTCAGGTTTAAAATCAGGACCAGCAAGGATTCGAATCTGCCCTCTGCCAGGAATTCCCAGATGCTTTAGATTTTTTGAGCCCGTCTCCTCATTGATTAAAAAAAAAGAGAGAGAAGAGTAACATGTAACTTTTGGAGTATTCTTTTTTGGGAAGATAGACAATATGTATGCGAACTACCTAGTATGGTGCCTGATGCTCAAAAAAATGGGTCGTTATTGTTAGCATTTCCAAGGTGTTCAGCATTCAAATAGAAAATGCTAATGATATATTCATTAAATGAAGACTTGACAGCTTAATGTTCGGAAGTGTTTCTTCAGAGACTCTTCAGAATCTGTCACAGTGATGGTGTAATGATTTTTCAAAATGTGCCATATGCAACATCATGGTGTTTTATTCCAAGAAGACTTTAGAAAGTGTTTGAAACAAAATCATGGAGTAAAAGGGAGCAGGAGTTTTCTATTTCTCCCACCTTCTATAGAATCATTTTCTTACATATTCACAGCCTCCTGAGTAACATTCTCATATCCCATATAATGAAATAGGACCTGTTGCTGGTGTTTACCCTCCATCATTCCTCCTGAAACAAAATTATAGTCCTTGGTGCTGAGAGAAGACATCTCCCCGCCCCCCAGTACTAATTTACTGAATTAATAAACATCCTAATCATTAGCTTTATAGGTCAGTTTCTTTAATTTCTGGTAGATTTTGGATCTGAAAATATTTATGTGCAATCATCTCCTCACCTTTTTCCCTAACTTTCAGGGTCTTTGCAGGGCCCATGTGAGCCTATAAGGTACCCTTAACCAGATTAGACATGGTGCCCTCTTCAGGTGCATGTCACACCCTTGTATGGCTTGGTGGGTAGAGAGTGAGCTGGATATCAACTCCTGCTTCCCAATTTAGTCAGCTGGGTGTCCTTAGACAGTGAACGAGATTCCCAACCATATGCAGTGGTTGGAATCTTTCTGCAAGCTTGTTCCTTTCTGGAGATCAGATTAGCACCAGAACGTCTGAGAGGAATATAATACACCAACTCAAAATGAGGTATAAAAGACATTGAAGGCTTCAAGTATTTCTTAGTTACAAGAAGTAAGATCCAGGAAACAAATATGAATACTACGATATCGAGTATCTGCAGAAGGGAGGACAGGCACAAGAGCTCTGAAATCAAGCCTAGATTTGATTATTAATTTCTGGCATGCTATGCAAACTTGTAGGGTTAGAGTTCTCTAATATCTCTAAGTAAATAGGTTTTAATGCCTTTTATTATGTATTTTTAAGAACTGGAGGGCCTGTTTGTATCCTTAAAATCTATCACATAGAAAATAATGTTTTTCCTATTTCAAACACTAACAGAGGTTCATACTTAGATAAACATGTTTTTCAAATCCTGCGTTTGCTAGTCATTTGTCATGTGGCCTGGGAAAGCTACTAACACCCTTTGATTCTGTTTGATCTTGTGTGGAGAAGGTAGAAATGGTTCACATGGGATAAAGTCAGTAAGGCTCTGACATGGGTAGACACTGGTCCTAGAAATGCTTTTTTCTTTCCCTATTCTAAGGCTGGCCCTGAGCAAACCTCAGGGAAGCAGGTTGCTTTAGTATCTCAAAGGATTAGAATCACCATTGTACTTGTGTTTTATAAATAAGTCTTGTTTTTATTTATTTTTAAAATATTCTATTTACTTATTTTAGAGAGAGAGTGTGGGTGAGCAGGGGGGAGAGGCAGAGAGAGGGAGGGAGAAAGAGAATCTCCAGCAGACTCCCGGCTGAGTGTGGAGCCCAGTTTGGGGTTTGATCTCACCATCCTGTATCATGACCTGAGCCCAAACCAAAAGTTGGAGGCTTAACCCACTGAGCCACCCAGGTGCCCCTATAAATAAGTTTTAAACAAGATTTCTGTCATATGAAACTCTGTGGTGGATTTATAAAGAACATTCTTTTCTTTTAGGCAAATCATTTGATTTGCTAAATCAGTCGTCCTATGACTATCTTGAGAAATACCCATCATTACTAATACGTTGTAGATTCTTTTCTAAGTGAAACAACTGAGATTCTCTTTAAAACTTACGGCAGCAGCAGAAGGAGATACTGACTTTAAATTCCTTGAAAATTGACTCATTAATATTTATTTCTGCCAACTTCAAAGTGATTTATAAGCTGTTTATCAAGCTTCGATAACCAGTTCACACATCAACGAATTTAACAAACTCAAAATAAATTACTGGAGAGCCAGAACATAATGACTTTCTCACATTCCCAAAGCAATCTCTGAGATCTAGGACTTCCAAGTCAAGTCCTCAGTAAATACATATTTTCACTTTAAGAAATCCATAGAGGTATCTGCTGTATCATGTTTCTGTTGGATGAATTTCAACTGGAAAGAAAAATGTTCTGTTTCCTGAAAAAAATCATAAGTATCTTCTATTTAATAAGACATTAGAGAAACAGAATCTAATTTACAATAGAGTATTTTCATTTTATAATTATTCTGGGGCTTAAGGCAATGCTTAATTTAATAAAACACTAACAGAGAGTCAGCAAAGTGTAGATACTAAAAGCACGGGCTCTACTGTCAGACTGGATTTCACATCTGCTGTACACTTACTAGCTGTGAGTTTGAGCGTTTGATTACTGATCTCTCTCTGCTTTGGTGAAATACCTACCTACAATAATACCTACACCATGGAGTTCTTGTTAGAATAAAATGAGCTTTCACACTTAGATGAGCGTCTTGTACATGGTGAATGTTTGAATCCTACTAATTATCATCTCATTGCATTATTTATGGATACTTTGTTGGTTTCTCTGATGTTGTAAATGCTCCCAAAGCAAACATGCCCTTCCTAACGTGGTGTAGAGTTAAAATTTTTTTTAATCATTTAATGTAAGGAAATAATTGTCAAGATTCTTTTTGAATGAGAAAAAACCCTAGAATTTTTAGAAAACATTATGCAACTCCATAATGTGTTTTAATATTAATGGCTATTAATTAATAATTAATAGATTATTTAATGATTGAATGATTCCTTATTAGGAAATCATTTATTTATTTTGTAAATAAAAACTTGGTTGTTTTGCTATTCATTGTATTTAGCATATTATTTATTAATATAATTTAATATTTTACCTTACTCAAAGAACCCAGGACCTGTGTTAATTTCAGCATTTCAACATCTTCTAAATGGAACAGATGTTACTAAGAAATTCAGCAGAGCATTGATTCTATACAATTTTAGAAGCAAATTTTTTTTCCTGCTTTATTGGCATACAATTGACAACATCACATTTTTATTTAAATATTTGGTAGAATTCACCAGTGAAATTTGGTCCTGGGCTTTTCTTTGTTGAGAGGTGTGTGTGTTTTGTTTTGTTTTATTTTTATTACTGATTTAATCTTCTTACTCATTATTGGTCTGTTCAGATTTTTATTTCTTTTTGATTTAGTTTTGGTAGGTTCTGTGCTTCCAGGAATTTATCCATTTATTCTGGGTTATCCACTGTGTTGGCATAAAGTTGGTCTTAGCAGTCTCTTATGATTCTTTATATTTCTGTGATGTCAGTTGTAATGTTTCTTCTTTGACTTATAGTTTTATTATTTGAGACTTCCCCATTTTTTTCTTAGTCTAGCTACTTTTTTATCTTTTCAAAGACCAGCTCTTAATTTCATTGATCTTTTCTATTGTTTTTCTAGTTTCCAATTTCATTTATTTCTGCCTTGATCTTTGTTATGTCTTTTCTTCTGGCAACTTTGGGCTTAGTTCTATTTTTCCCCTTGCTAAGGATGTAAAGTTAGGTTGTTTATTTGTGAGTTTTTCCCCCTTACCATAGATGTTCATCACTATAAACTTCCCAGCCAGCACTGCTTTTGCTGGATCTCATAAATTTTGATATGCTCTGTTTTCACAACTGGGATTTGGGGTAGCTCTCCAGACTGAATGGTGCTTTGCTGAGGATGGGATTTATGGCAAGTGTGTGTGTCTCAGTTCTGCTTGCCCATTTCAGGATAGGTGTTTTCTCATTCCCAATGTGTTCAGCTAGTTTCTGGATTTCTTTCAGAGGAAATTTCTGTAGTGTAGTTGTATGGTTTGTTCATTTGGTGCCTCTGTGGGAGGAGGGAAATTCAGGAGCTTCCTCTGTTGCTATCTTGGGAATTACTACCACAAAAAGCTTTTTTTTTTTTTTTTTTTTTAAGTCTGTAATGGGTTTAGAAACATAATTTCCAACAGTAAAAGTCCTAATTTGTATTTTTAAATAGATAATCAGTTTTTCACATCTCTTACCTATGCACTATTAGTAGAGATTCAGCTGGTTGCATTCAAATTACTTTAGAATAGCTATTCACTTCAATTTTAATACCTATCAAAATTGAGTTTAAGGTGAATTGTACACACTAGTGCACTCTAATTAAACTCTGTTGTTGAGATAACTATAGCTCATCACTTCCTGTCTATACACTCACATTTATCTGCATCTAAAAATGAAAACTTAATAAATTAATCATGTGTTTTTAAGTATCTTAGTGGTATTCTTCTATATAAATTGAAATGGAAAATTAAAATAGTAACCTGGATGATTTCTGGCAAGTCACTAATTTTCTATAATGTGGCATACAGTTTCCTAAAAATCACTGTTATACGATTTTGTATAATAAAGATTATAGGACAAATAAGGTTGAGACAACACATTACCCTCCGAAGGGTGCATCCCTGAAATGGTT